CCTTGGAGGCAAGGATTCTGAGGCTCCATCTAACATACTTTGGACATGTTGTGAGGAGAGACAGGTCCTTGGGGAAGGACATAATGCTTGGGAGGGTGGAGGGACAGCGCAGGAGAGGAAGGCCCTCTATGAGGTGGATTGATTCAGTGACTGGGATAATTGGGATGGGAGTGCGCTGTGAGTTGCAAGCGACTCGACGGCACATAACAACAACAACAACATCCAACTGACTTTAGAACTAACCCTGTTTTTTATAACTTAACACAGTTTTCTAAAACTGATGATTTTGTCTTTTTTAATTGCAGAATAGTAGGCAGGCATGGATGAGCTTCAGGTTTATCTTCTTTATTATAGACCAGAATTGGAAGTGGACCAATTTCCAAGTTCCAAAGGAGAGAGGCGAAGATGAGAGTGATTTCTGTGTCCTTACCTCCGTAAGATCTCTAACGTTGTCCTATACCATCAAGTCAGAACCAACTCACAACCTTCCAGTGAGTTTGCAGAGGCAGTAAATTACATGTGAAGAGATTGCGCCCCCCCCCTTTTTTGTTGCTCTTGGGTTTTTAGTTTGTTTTTAAATTGAGATTTTAATGAAAGTTTATAGAGAATTTGGATATCCATTTTTGCACATTTTCCTCCCTGCCCCCCCAGTTTGTTTTTCTCTTTGGGAGAAAAAAATTCTTTCATTGCTGTACAGTTCCCCACTCCCACCCATTTTTCTTCTGCAGAACACCAGTGGATTCATACCACATGTCTTGGGCATTGCAGCTCAGCTTCTCACCACTAGGCCACCAGAGCTCCCTAATAACCCTCTCTTAAATTACCACAAATAAGTATATATGCTACCAAAACCCAGTGCATCTATGCTAGTCACGAGAAAAAATGTCCAAGCCACCCAAATAAACCTACAAAGAAATGTGTATCTCAACTCCACCTCCTTTTGCTCTTCTGAAAACCCACTTTTATGCAAATTAATGCAAGCATTCCTGGCCAAGACCTGGTTATCTACTCAAATCCTATTCCAAATACACAGTGTAAGCATAAAATTTCCGTTTTCTTCTGCTTCCAGCTAAGTCAGGACAACAGGAACCAGATTTACTGTACAACATAAAAAAGAAGAAGAAAACCAGGACAAAATACAATACTTTCAACACACAAGACATCAGAAAAAGAAAGATTTAAGCTGTGACAGATGGGAAACAAGTGAAGTGTGCCCTACAATTGCACCAAACTATAACCTCAAAACTGTAAACTTACACCAACTTCCACTTTCCAACTGAAATTTCAATTTCCAGATGAAATTACCCAACAGGATGGTTCTTAAGTCTAAGCAGCTCTTGGCCTTGATCTCTCCTGGTATTCTTATTTCTTTTCAAAGCATCACCACTCAGTCACCCCAATTGGAAGCCACAGTGATCTTTTACTCCATCTCCACCATTTTCAGTCAGTCGTTAGTATTGCACATCTGGCTCTAAGATACCCTGTTTGTCCTCCTTTTCTCATCTGTCCCACAACAACTACTCCAGTTCAAATTCTCAGTATTTTCCACCAATCTTTGGTCTTTCACACTTGAACTCACAGTAAGCACAACCATTAGCTTCTTTTTCTTCTTTCTCTAATGCATTTTATCATATCATTCTACTGTTTAATTCTTTCTACAGCTTTTCATGCTTTAGGTTATGCTTAAAAAGTCTTTGCCTAGACTTTTAAAATATAGGCCAGATTTCACTTTCTAACCTTAAATCTAGTATTTATACATTCATTCATTCATTCATTTAATTCTCATGTGAATAGTCAGATTAGATCCAAGTGGTACAGGAGCAGATTGCCCCTCCTTCTACAGGGGAGCATCTCGTGGATTCAAACTGAACCCTATTTTAAAATCACACTGCACTGCTTGTTATTCCTAATATGTGCCCCATTCTCCTGCCTCTATCTAGTTGTTGTTAAGTGTCATCGAGTTGTTTATGATTCCTAGTAACCCTAAGAACAATGGCTCTGAAACTCAGCCTATCCTGAGCCAATTCTGACTCTCCTGCCCCCATTGCCACAATCACTTGTAAATCCATTTCATCCTGGGTTTTCCTCTTCTGCTCTGACCCTCTACTTTTCCAAACATGATGTCCTTCTCCAAGTACTGGTCCCTCCTAGCAACATGTTCAAAGCATGTGAGACAGAACTTGAAAATCCTTGCCTCCAAGGAGCAAACTGCTTTCACCCTCTCCAGGATAAAGCTCTCTTGGGAGTCCATGGTATGTTCAATACTCTTCTCCAGTCCACAACTCAAAGGCATCAATTCTTCCATCATCCTTAGTCACTATCCAGCTCTCAGATGCATAGCAAGCAATTGAGAAGGCCATGACCTGGACCAGGTGCACCTTAATCTCTAATTGACGTCACTGCTTTTTATCACTCTGGCGAGATCCTTGGGAGCATATTTATGTACCAGAAAGAATTGATTAACACTTAAAAATTTCAGGAAGTACCATATGAACAGTAGCTAATGGTAATGGAGGAAGTAGAAGCTTCATTGATGGCATTGACAAAAAATAAGGTACAGGAATCGATGAGATACCAATTGACTTGTTTCAATTAATAGATGAAGCCTTGCCAGGAAATTTGGAGGGAAGCTGTCTGGCCAATGGATTCGAAGAGGCACATATTTGTTCACATTCCCAAGAAAGGTGATCCAAATGAATGTGGAAACTATTGAACAATTTAATTAATATCACATGCAAGCAAAATATTGCTGAAGATCATTCAAAAATGGCTAGAACAGTTCATAGACAGGGAACTGCTAGAAGCTCAAGGAGGATTTAGAAGAGGCCATGGCATCAGGGATATCATTGCTGATGTCAGATAATTTCTAGCTGAAAAGAAAGAATACCAGAAGAATGTCTATTCGTGCTTTATTCACTAGGATCATGACAAGTTGTGACTGACATTGAGAAGAATGGGAATCCCAGATCTCTTGATTCTGCTTATGTAGTACCTGTACCCGAACCAGGAGGCTGTTGTGCAAACAGAGCAAGGGGATACTGCATGGTTTAAAATTAAGAAGGGAGTGTATTCTTTCTCCATACCTGTTCAATCTGTACTCTCAGCAAATTATCTGAGAAGCTGGACTCTGTGAAGAGGAGTATGCATCAGGATTGGAGGGAAACTCATCAGTAACCTGTGTTATGCAGAAGACATAACCTTACTTGCTGAAAGTGAGGAGGACTTGAAGCTCTTGTTGCAGAAGATCAAGGAATGCAACCTTCAGTATGGATTACATACTGAATGTCAGGAAAACAAAGGTTCTTACTGCTGGACTAAAAGTCAGCATCATGATGGCTAGGGAAGAGACTGAAACTGTCAACAGCTTCAACCTGCTTGTATCCACAATTAACATGCTTGGTACCAGCAGTTAGGAGATGAGGATATGCTTTGCACTGGGAAAATCTGCAGTTAGGGAGCTCTCTAAATTATTGAGGAGTAATGATGTCAGTTTGAGCACTAAGACGTGTATGATTTGGCCATGGTCTTTCCGATTACTTGCTATGCATCTGAGAGCTGGACAATGAATGAGGATGAAAGAAAAAGAACTGACATCTCCAAACTGTGGTGTTGGAGAAGAGCACTGAACATCCCACAGATGGCCAAGAGAATGAACAGATATGAGTTGGAGAGGGTGCAGCCAGAGTGCTCTTTGGAGGCAAGAATTATGAGGCTTTGCTTCACATATTTTGGGCATGTGACACGATGCTGGGAAGGGTGGAGGGTAAGCAAAGGAGGGAAAGACCCTCAAACCAGGTGGGCTGACACAGTGACAGCTGAAATATGCTCTTGTGTGTCAGGAAGTGTGAGGATGGCACAGGATAAAACAAGGGTCAGATCTTATGTTCATAGGTTTGCTATGAGTCGTACTCAACGCGGCGGCACTGAACAACAACAAATCGTCTAATAAAAGCTTCCCCATCCTCATGTACAAAACCCATTATTCTATTACCAATTGTTGACCAGTATCTTTTTCCCCCCCTCACGGTTATGGGATGTTGGTTGTTGGGTTTTTTTTTTAATTTATTATTAATTTCAATGAAAATTTACAGAGACTTTGGATTTTCATTCATTCATTGTTGTACTTTTCTTCCCTCGCAACCCTCCCTCCTAGAACACTACCCTCTTGGAAAAGTAAAAGAAAAAATTCTTTCATTGTTTTACAATCCCTCCTCCAGGTCCACTCCACTATGCAGCCTTTGCTCTAGACTCCTGTCATGACAGAAATACCTAATCACATATCCCTTTTAAACAGTTTTCTCCCTTATCAGTTTCAATGCAATAAACATAATTTTTCCCATCTTTCTCACTCTCCCCCCAACCCCGATGTCAGTCCTGTTTTACAACAGTGGCCCCATGCAGTATTGTCCTTTTGTGACTGAGATATTTTACTCAGCATAATGTCCTCCAGGGTCACCCATTTTGAGTAATATTGGATGAGCTCCTTGTTTTTCAATGCAGCGTAGTATTCCATTGTGTGAATATACCACAGCTTCTCTATCCATTCGTTTATTGGTGAGCACTTAGGTTGTTTCCAGCTCCTTGCTATTGTGAGCAAAGCCGCAATAAACATGCGTGTGCATATATCTGCTTGGGTGTCAGTTATGGTCTCTTTGGGGTATGTTCCCAGTAGAGGAATTGCTGGGTCAAATGGTATCTCTATTTGCAACTTTTTGAGAAAGCGCCATACTGCCTTCCACAGTGGTTGCACCATTTTACACCCGCACCAACAGTGAATAAGGGTTCCAGTTTCTTCATAACCTCACCAGCATTTGTTGCTTGCTGTTCTGTTAAATTTTGCTATTCTGACTGGGGTGAGGTGATATCTCATAGTTGTTCTAATTTATATCTTTCTTAGAGCTAGGGATTTTGAACATTTCTTCATGTGCTTGTTAGCCATCAGGATGTCTTCTTCGGTGAAGTGTCTGTTCATATCCTGTGCCCATTTTTCTATTGTATTATTTACCTTTATCTTGTTGCGGTGCTCAAGTATTTTATAAATTCTGGATATAAGTCCCTTATCTGATATGTCATTACCAAATACCTTTTCCCAGTCTGTGACTTCCCTTTTTACCCTGTTGGAGAGTTTTTGAATGTGCATAGGGATTTGATTCTTAGAAGATCCCATTCATCTATTTTATCTTCTCCTCGTTGTAGGTTGACCAGCATCTTAACTTGACCTCACACATTGAACATGGTCTTTTTTTTCTTTTTCTTTAACTCATTGATTCAAACTTATTTAGGTCCTTAGCCTGTGTACTCAGTAGTAAGTGTATGCAAATATCATGCAGCTGGTTAAAATCAGCTTCACAATAGAATCTCTCATCCATCTTTGCAACTATTAAAACACCCAAACTCATGACACTTAGTCTATTCATTGCAAGTCTCCATCTAACATCTGAGGCATTAAATCATACAGGAAGAGACTGCTTCATCTATCTCTCCTAGTAGGGGGCAGCTATTGAATTCAAACTGCTGGCCTTTTGGGTTCAATTGGTTAACTGTTAGGTTAGCAGTCCAGCATGTACACACTCTACTGCCAGAGCTTCTTTGTACACAATACAGTGTCTTACACAGAGGCAGCACTTAATAATTTTTAAAATAATTGCATTGGGAAAGTCTACTGTCAGAGACCTCTCCAAAGTACTGAAGAGCAACAGCGTCATCTCTCTGGAGACCAAGATGTCTGGTCCAGGTCATATTCTTTGCAATTACTTGTCATGCATCAGAAAACCAGACAATGATTGGTATGACAGAGGGAGAATTGATGCCTTTGAGTAGTGGTGCTGGATCAGAATGCTGAATGTATATTCAATATGGACTCCTAAGGCAACAAACAGGTTTCTCCTAGAGAGGGTAGGACCAGGCCGCTCCTTGGAGGCAAGGATTCTGAAGCTTCATCTGACATACTTTGGACATTTTGCAAGGAGGGACCAGTCCTTGGAGAGGGAGGTTATGTTTGGGAGGGTGGAGGGACAGTGCAAGAGAGGAAGATCCTTGATGAGATGGATTGATTCAGTGACTGGAGTAACGGGGTGGGTGTGTCAGAGACAACAAGATTGGCACAGGATAGATCAGGGTTTAGGGCTGTTTGTACATTGAGTCACTATGAGTCATAGGTGACTTGATGGCACATAATAACAACAATTGTAAACATTTATTTATCCTGAGACATCTTTATCTTCAGTTAAAATGAGAGGAAAAAAAAAATATATATAATACTGTAAAACTAGTTGGATTTGAATTTGGGATGAAGTTCCCTCTAGAAATCTTCAACATTACACATGAGATAAATCAATTCAAAGTCACTGTTGTGTTTAGATGTTGTCAAATTGACTACAACTCACAGTGACCACATGCTCAACACTTCTGGAGTTGCTATGATAATCCATCTCATCAGGAGATGAAAAATTCCAAAGAAAAGCAAACTGAAGTATAAAATGATCTGGCCAAAAACTATCTCACCCAAAACATGATTCATTCACATTTGCAGGCTCTTTAAGTCTCCAAGAAACAAAGTTATTATTCTTTTTCTTTCCTAAAAAAAAAAAAAGAGAAAATAAAAATATTTTGGTC